ATAGATAGATAGATAGATAGATAGATAGATAGATAGATAGATAGATAATAAATATTTCTATAAAGAGTTTGGTATCTGACCTTTGTGTACATAGAATTTCTGTTTCTAACTCCTGGTGCAGGACAATTGTCTATATTTTGTCAATTATGTTTTAAGTAAATGCTGATTGGCCAGTAGCCAGGCAAGAAGTAGAGGTGGGGCAATGTGAACAGGAGAATTCTGGGAAGGAGGAAGCCCATCCCTCCCCAGTACTGTCTAAACACTGAAGAAGCAAGAAGTGACTACACCACTGAAAAAGGTATTGAGCCATGTGGCTAATGCAGATAAGAATAAAGGGCTAATATACATTATAAGAGTTAATAAGAAGCCTGAGCTAATGGGCCAATTAGTTTATAGTTAATGTAGACCTATGTGTGATTTCTTTGGGACTTAATAACTGTGGGAATTGAGCAGGACAGAAACCACAGTCAACAAATGGCACCCATGTGGACAACTGCATCCACATAAAACCTGAGAGAGCTTGGGAAATTCTAGCTTGGGTAATTCTAGACAGAAAAGAATAGAGTCCTCCCACTGTTGCTGGCTCTTTGTCTCCTGGGTTCAGGGAAGACCAGCTAACCCTGATGCACTGCTGAGGAGCTCTTCCCAGAGAGATCCTTCATCTGGCAATGGATGGAGATAGAGACGGGGACCCACGTTGGAACAGTGGACTTAACTCCCTAGGTCCAAGCGAGAAGCAGAAGGAAGAAGAACGTGAGCAGGGAGGGCAAGACCAGAGGGAACCTTCATCCGGCGATGGATGGCGATGCAGACGGAGACCCACATTGGAGCACCGGACTGAGCCCCCCAAGGTCCAAAGAAGGAGCAGAAGGAGGAAGAACATGAAAAAGGAAATCAGAACCGCAAGGGGAGCGATCACCCACTGATACAAGGGAACTGATCTAATGAGAGTTCACCAAGGCCAGTTGACTGAGACTGAAGGAGCGCTTGTTCCAACCAGATTCTCTAGAGGAGGCTGGATTCCCTGAATGTGGCTGACCCGAAATCTTTCTAAAAAGCCATTGACAATGACTCTGGGACTTGTTTCCTCTGCATATTCTGGATTTTGGGGGATCCAGTCTGTTTGGATACTCACCTTCCTGGACCTGGAGGGAGCGGGGAGGAACTTGAACTACCCACAGGGCAGGAAACCCGGACTGCTCTTAGGGATGGAGAGGGAAGAGGAGAGGGAGTGGGGGGAGTGGGAGGGTGTTGGGAGGAGGGGCGAAAATGGAAACTTTTATATTTTAATAAACTTTAAAAAAAAAAAGAATAGAGTTAAGCCTGGCTTCTTGGTATCAGCAATTTCTCGGATCTGCTCTGCTTGCTAGAGGCAAGCGCTCTCATTTAAGAGCGGCTTCCTGACTCAGCTTTAGCTGCAAAATCCTGCAGCTCTTTAAGAGTTTCTGCCACAAAATACTTAAATGGTGCTGATAAAAGCTGACCACATGCTTTTTGGTTTTCAGCAATAGCAGGAGAAAAGCTGCACTGTTTCCCTGCACTGCTTCCCTTGCTGGCAAACTTTCAGAATAAGGGAGGCAACATCAGCGATGTCTAAGTGCAGAGAGCTGATGGAGTCTGTAACAAAAATCAAATCAAAACAAAACAAAAACATAGCAAAGAGTATAGGAGAATGAATACAACTGTACTTTTTTTTTTCAACAAAGCACACAATTTTAATTAGCTATACAAATGGCCCAATCTAGATCCTGCTTGTGGTGCACGCCTTTATTCCCAGTACTCAGAAAGCAGAAAGAGGTGGATCTCTGTGAGCTGAAGACCAACCTGGTCTACAGAGTGAGTTCCAGGACAGCCAGGGCTATACAAGGAAATCCTGTCTCAAAAGAAAACAAAACAAATTTTGAAAAATCGATTTAAAAAAAAAAGACCCACTCTGTAGTTTCTCATGAAATCTCAACACACATTGATAATTTGTGCTCATATTTCACCCAGAACACACACAAAGTAGCCTAGAAGAAAGGTAACATGGCAAGAGTTTATGGTGTGCTGGGGGCAATTAGGGTTGAGTTCAGAATTAGGGTTACAGATGTGGGTCAACAATAGGGGCTCAGATTGCAAAGTTGAGGTGCTGCCTGTACCCAGACATCCCTAGGAGCAGTGGAGTGGGAAATACCTCTCTCTGTCTGTGTCAAATAGTGCATGTGGGAGGAGGGAGGGGACCTAGGAGACTTTTGAGAAAATCCTGGGTAAGGAGAAGACTCAGGCAAGGGGACCACAGGAGTGACTACACTTCATTAACAATGACATCACAATGCAGAACCTTGCAAGCAGGCAGCCAAAGGTTCAGAGACAGCCCAGCAGGCTCACTTGTCTTGAGACAGTAGAGAAAGCAGGATGCTGTCATGCTGTTTGGGGATTATTGGAGACTCAGTTCAAACATGTTTCAAACATGTTCGCACGAGCATGTTTGAAACACCTTCTGTGTGCAGGTGAACTAATAATCCAAGAGCAGACAGAACTTCCAGACTCTGGACTTTGATTCTGCTCCAGGAATCAGCAGGCCCCCTAGAAGGCTTTTAGGTGGGGACCTGGGACTCTACAGGTGACATCCCTCCTGGTCTCCTCCAGGTATGGAAACTTCCGCCGTGACTGCGAAGAGGAAGAGGAAGTGAGGAAGGAAGTGGGCTTGACAACAAGAGAGAGAAAGGTCCTGTCTCTGTAGAGCGGGCGAGTGGGCTCATTTGGGTTCTAAGGGTAAGGGGTGGCCGAGGCTTGGGTCTCACACTCCTGGTTTCTATACCATACCGAGGTCTAAGCATTGCCTGGGGGATAACAAGAACTGCATGGGCAGGGTCCTTAGAAGTGGGGATATGAGGAAAGTCCTGTGAAACTCTCCCCTCATCTCAGTCCTTGTCGGGAAGGCTTGGTCAGCTGTGCTCCATTAGAGTCAAGCAAGGGGTGTGTGGATCTCCCTGCTCCCATGGAACTCATAGCCCTGCCCATTGTACTCATATGTGTAAGGGCTGGATGTCTTCTACCTGCAGTCTCACATGAACGGAGTCTGTAAAGGGTGGCAAAGGAAAGTCCAGGCCAGAATCAGGCTTCCTGGTGAAAGATGGAGCCAGAGTGTGCCAATCCAAAACAGTAGGAGTGGTGGACTGGCTGTGACAAAATAGTACAGGAAATTCAAGATGGTGAAAGCATTTGTTGAAATTGGAGATTTACTTCTAGCCCTAGAAAGAGCTGGATTAGAGGGCAAGGTCTCAGATTTGAGGCTGTTTCCAACAACTATGGAAGACTGCAGGGCACCATGTCCCTGGGGAGAGCAGAGGCCCTGGACAGACATGCTTACCTCTTCCAGTGCACAAATCATGTCATGGATAGGCATGGCTCTGAGCCCTAGGGTCTAGAGACTGCTTTGGTTGGACGGGTCCTGGAGCAGATAGGACTAGCAGCCCTTCCCTCCTCCCCTCGGCTGCTGAGTGCCTCTGCACTCACCATTGCAGGTCTCAGGCAAAAGGACTTTGACTTTTCTCCCTCAAGGAATCTAAGCCCACACACTTATAAGTTCTTGTATAAAGTCACACACGTGCACCAGGTGACCACTCCTGGTCCCCCCGCCCGCAACTTTGTTTGACTAGGGGGCAAAGGTGGTGTGCGGGAACTTCTGCTTTTAAGGGGTTCTGCTGAGACTCTGCGGTCTTCCCGCAGCTGCTTCTTAATATGGGGACACAAAGATGGTCACCTTCCGGATGGTATGACATCTAGATCATCCCGAGTAGCTCATAGCACTTATGAGAGGACCTCAAGTCCTAGGGATGGAGGCTTGGTTTAATGCTATGCTCTTAGTTCTGGAATCTTGATTGTTTGCAGGCTCTGTTGGAGGTAACCCTGAGCTGGGCGTTGCGGTGCGTTGTGTCATCCTAGAACTTGGGAGGCTACAGCAGAAGGATCAGGAGCTCAAGGCCTTGTGATCAGTTCAAGGCCAGTTTAGGCTGCTTGAGACCCTTCATCCAAGTAAGTGTTTACCCACTGTGAAGCCACATCATCCCTGCAAACAAGTATCCCTGTTATGTATGATCAGGGCTTGCCTCCTAATTTCCCCATTCTCAACTATCCTGGTTTAGGAAAGTTATCCCCTGCTCTGCTCTGACATTAGAACTGGACAACCCCAGCCTGGGTGTAGGTTTCTTTCTGTTTGAGACAAGGGCTGGTTATATTGCCCAGGATGCCTCAAATTATCCTCTAAACATAATCTTCATCATCACATTCCTCTTGTCCTTGAAGGTACCAGGGAGGCACGTGGTCCACAGATATACATTCACACAAAAAACTCATAGACATAAAAAGCAAAAAATTAAATTAAAAAAGAAATTGGAGGACAAATGAATAAAGCTCGAAGAGTCAGGCATGGTGGCCCACATCTTTATTCCCAGCACTGGGGATGCCAAGGCAGACTGATGTCTGTGAGTTTGAGGTCAGTCTGGTCCACACAGTGCATTACAGGAGCTATGGTGAAAGATCCTATGTCAAACAAAACAAAACAAACAAACGAGTTAAAAGAACAAACATGTACCTTTATTTTTTATGAGCTGTAGTTTCCAGGAAGGCTGAGGAGATGGTTAGAGCAACATCTCTGTGTCCTCCTGCTTCAGCCTCTGAAATGCTGACTAGAGGTATGCCTCCAACCCCACCCCTGCTGTGGGTGTACAGCCAAGGGGATCAGATCCAGGACCTCTGGCATGCTAGGTCAGTCTCTGTGAACTGAGCAAATCCCTCAGCTCTATCATAGCTCTAAATTCTTTAATATACTCAATGATGTCAAATAACGATGTTTTGTGAGGAAGTTATTTTGATGCATGGGCATTGTTCATGACATACCCAAACTCCAGAATTTTAACTAATTTGCAAATAATTTGAATTTAAGTTTTGACACAGTAGTCTCCCATAAGTAGGTTATATTATTCTTATTGATTTAAAGCTGATTTTTTGTATTCACATTCTTAATAATTTTAAAATAGAAAATTCATGGTAAAGCAAATAGTCAAATAGTAGGTGTAATAGTTTAAGAGTTTCAATTCTTTTGGTTAAAGGATGAAACTAAAATATGGGAACTTTTTAATGCAACAAGAAAGTATAAACAAAATTATAAAGCATGCTAGGGTCCCACTCCTGGATGCCAGAGCAAAGGGCAGGTTATATGTGCATATGGTAAGCAATGCTAAAAGCATTCCAGGAGAAAGTACAAAAATGAGATCTCTATGACCTGACAGAATATAGAGACAAATACTGTTACTTCTGTTACTGGGAGCATTGCCCAGGAAGCAATGGGAAGGTGTTTATGTTTGTAGACAGGCTCCTCAGCAAATCTAGGGGTCCCATTCAATGTCTTGTCCTTGTAGTTTTTCCACCTTAGTATCTGGCCATTGCAAATGACTACTGCCCTATTGGCACAAGGAGATACCACAGCGCAGATAGCTCCTTTAGAAGGAAATGAGACGATGTAATGGAGCCCTGCCTTCCTCCTTTAGCTCCCTTGATCAGTCTTCTGATTCTGTTGATCATTCAGAAGATGAAAAGTTCTCTGCTAACCATCCATTTCTCTGCATCCCTACAGTTGGTGTTTCTGCACTAACCCTAGGACTCAGCTCAAAAGCAAGAGGATCTTGAGCCATACCTATCTGTGGCACTTTGAAGTACCAGTACATTTCTAACCCTTTAGGCTCAGAGTTGATGATAATTTTTCTAAGAGGGGAATATGGGGAGAATAGGAGACTATTCTGTATTAGGTACTTACTGATTTTAAACAAGCCATCTCCACGTACAGAGCTACATCTCCATGTACGATGGGATTGTTGAGAGGGATAGCTGAAATAGAGCAACTGATCCCCCATGACTTGTTTAAACCTGCTGAATTCCTTCATTTCAGGATTTGGTGACATGAAAAGGTGGGCTTTCAATCTGATCTCAGATATTATAGAAAAGCTGGCCTTTGACAATGTTAGCAGAGAATGTCAATAGACTCCACCCACAGTTCAAACAACTAAAGGCATTTGAGATTACATAGGAGCCTGCAGCAACATTGGTCTCCAAGCCTGCTTGCTCTGATACAGGACAGCCTTTGTGTTCTTGGGCCTCCTTGCTTTATGCCTATTGTCTGTCTTTGCTTCTGCCTTACCAAGCATGAACACCCTTGCTTTTGTTTCTACTTTTTAATTGTAAAGACACAGATGTCATCACTTTCTGGGTTCTTAGATGTTTCTTTTGAAAGCCCGTTGGGTACAGATAATATTTAAAAAGTATACAGGCACATGCCATTTTAGTTCTCTGAAAAGCTGACTCTCAGATGGGAGTGGCCCAACTACTTCAGACCCTAGCACGCTTGTCTCAGGTTTCTTTCCAAACGCCATGACTCAGGCTGTCCCTCTGACTCAGTGACAGGAACAGATGGAGAGATAGACAGACAGACAGACAGACAGACAGAGAGGTGAGCATAAAAAGAGATAACGGGAAGAATTAATACATGGCTACCGTGTTAGGAGAAAATGAAGGAACTTTAAACAAAACACGAGCTGCTACTAATTATTTACTGGTAAAACACGGTGCTGACTGTTTACTAAACTGATTTGGAGCGAGTAGATGTTATATACTGTGGTTGTTGAAATTTAATTTGCTCCCATAAGCTCAGAGGGAGAGGCATTATCAGGAGGTATGTCATTGTTGGAGTAGGTGTGGCCTTGTTGGAGGAAGTGCATCACAGTGTGGTAGGCTTTGAGGTCTCATATGTGCTCAAGCCTCATCCAGTGCATCAGTTCACTTCCTCTTCCCTGCCAATGAAGATGCAGGATTCTCAACTACAGCACCATGTCTACTTGCTCGCATCATGTCCCACCATGGTGATAATGGACTAAACCTCTAAAACTGTAAGCCACCCCATCAAATGTCTTCCTTTATAGGAGTTGCTCTGGTCATGGTTTCTCTTCACAGCAATAGAGACCCTAAGACATATACTGACATCTCTCTAGCAATGGATGTGATCAGTAGGGTGTTGACACCTTCTCCACACTGTGGGCAGATTCTGATGCAGTTCAGGTTCAGGTTCAGTGAGTTCATCTTCATATCTTCATCTGTTTTTGACTTTTCCTGGGAAGACACAAAACAAACATCCATTCACCCTGGGCAGTGCACCAACAACAGACCAAAGTCCAACGTGATGAATAAATGAGATTACATATTAGGATAACTTACAGAAGCCTGAGCAATGAGTGACTTGCATAAGCATGGACAACTCAAAGGCAGATGTGCCACTGGCAAGACCATACCAGTATAGGGGATAGCTTACAAAAGCTACAGCCCCAGATTTTTCTGAGTAACCCACAACCAGCTTATCAGATCAGTTTCCTCCAGACATCTCAACTGCTCAACCTCCTCTAATTAGTGTTTGATACTGCCTATATCACCTTGGGAGAAATGGACCTGGTGAATCTAATAAGTTTCAGGGACTTCTTGACACTTGTGAGTTTATTTTCTGAGTACTAAGGAGCCTCCCTCCAAGATGGAAATGTTTCAATTTAGAGGATATTGATAAAAAATACTCCAACCTTCCTACAGCTCTTACATTCTTTCAAGCCACCTCTTCCAGAACATTCCCTGAGGCTTAGATGGATGACATAGATGTCTGATTATTTTCCTCCATCTGAGATTGAGCATTGGATCAGAATGTCACAATAGTCACTTAGTCTCAGGAGTTCAGGTGGTTATGAGGCTTTGTGGTACACCACTGTAAAGAGGAAGTTTCCTCCCATGGCGGATTGGAGTTGACAGAAGCAGTGACCTATGGGCAAAGCACAAATATGCAGAAGACAGTTTGATAAGGTCACATCCACTCAACAAAACAATAGCAGTTGTCTGCCCACTGAGACCTGTGACTCCTTACCCATGGGCTTTACCCCTCCCTGGCTTACAGTAGCAGACACGAGTTCCTGCCTGCGGGGTAGCCCTAAAATCCAATCAGAAAGCTGTTGGTTGTATTCACAGTAGTCATGCCACCTGGGCACTAGCAGGCACCTTGCCCAGCACACAGCCGAGCAGCCAGCATGGAGCCTCCGGGCACTATCCAGATCCATCACACCTTTATCTTCCTGAGTCCTGCAACCAAACCATGTGCCATCTTCAGCAACTGGGTTTCACCACAAAGTTCTGGTGTACACGTTATGGCAGCGACAGCAGCCCTTGCTGTCTGGGGGACCTCTGGGACCTTCCTGATCATAGCTCTGACGGTGGACACTTTATCCAGCCACATTAAGTCTTAAAAGGTGTGCCTGCTAATTAAAGACTTTAACTTTTATCTTAATTGTGCTTCTGGGTCCTTTTCAATATCCGTTAGGACATGCGAAGGTGTAGACAGAATCCCTGAAGGCTCACCATCATCCATTCCAAACAAATGCATTTGATCTCAGGCAACGTCAACAGTAATGGGAAGACCTCATTGCTTCCACCAGTTGTTCCATCATAAGAGCCACGGCAGGCACAGCAGCACAGACGTCAGCAACTACGTCTTTTAACTCATTAAGCCAGGGTGGTTCTCCAGGAGCTATTTGGCTGAACAGGTTGTTGAAGGACTTGAAGTTAGTCAAACAGTCTTTACATTTTCTAAGTGCTTGATGGTTTCTGTAAGTTCATCAGAGCCCCCAAGCAGTCTGCACTGTCGTTACCCCACTCTACTAGGAGTAGACAACTTTTCAGGTTCCTATTCCCTCAACCATACATGACTCCTCCATCCTTTGTGCGCTCAGGGAAAACAGTGCTATGCATGGTGTGCCCCAGCAATACAGCCACCTTCAGAATGTTCCCATGCCACATTAGGTATTAGCTGAATACCTTAATTTCCATACCCCATTGACAACTCCATTTGAAAGCAAACATTCAACTTACATAAACTGACACATTCTCTCATAAATTTCTCACATATGAAAAGCTGGATGTTTCACTCACAATGTTCACATATTAGTGGCTTACAGGCGTGTGACACATGTCCACAAGCTTAGCATTCAGCATGAATGATGAGGGTGTAGCCTACATATAACAGGCTTTCCAACACTATCCTGCTGTTGAAATTTCTCCCTATATAACTTTGGTTAGCCCCCTTGGGGCAATGCTTCTGCCTGCCCAAGGAATGCTGTAGGCAAGGTGTTCCGTGCCCTCCTTAGCAATGCACCTCGGTGCTTTAAGGGCAATATGCAAACAGTCTCCGTCTGGCCAGGGGATCCCTGGCTCCTGAGCACATCTGGTGACAGTGATGAGAAATACCATGTAAGCTTATCAGGGTTTTCCATCCCTGCTTTGACTCTGAGCTATCCATATTAAAACTGTCACAAATGCCCGTTAAGTCACTCTTAAGAAACATAGCCTTGAGGCCCCTTGGTTCTGCTGAATCTCAAGTTCAGCTATGGTTGTCTGGCTCGGGTCACTGATGGATACCAACATGTGGGCTTGAAACAGGGCTATGACTGGAATATGGAATTTATTGAGGAACATCACTGAGGTATGAGTTTTTTTTTAATTTTACAAGGAGCCTACTCAAGTATGTCAGGGTAAACACGTGTCAATCCAAAAGCAAACGGGGAGAGCTCATTCACTTATTATTCACAATGATAAAAGCATCAGGGGTTAAAGCATCACACAAATAATATGCCTCTCCAGTGAGGAGAAATCACTATACATTCAAGAGATTTATTTAAGGAAAAGCTCTATAATATTGTTTGTTTAGCTAGGCTAATGCCTAAGGAGAGTTGGACATGAACAAAGGAATTTACTAGTGTGCAAATACTTCAGGATTATGTATTCCACAAACACTGTCATCCGTAAATCTGCTTTGGTTCCAAGCCATACTTCAATATAAAGAGAGACAAAGACTGCAAGTTTCAATACTTAGGTAGACAGGAGATTTACACAGCATGGATCTTATATATTTCCCAGAATTAAATTATTTTAAGCATGCCAGTGTTGTTCTTTAAGTCTCTCTCTCTCTCTCTCTCTCTCTCTCTCTCTCTCTCTCTCTCTCTCTCTCTTCCTTTTTTCTTTTTTTGATTTTTCAAGACACGGTTTCTCTGTAGCTTTGGAGCCTGTCCTGGATCTAACTCTTATAGACCAGGCTGGCCTCAAACTCACAGAGATCCACCTGCCCCTGCCTCCTAAGTGCTAGGATTAAAGGCATGCACCACCATGGCCTGGCTTAAGTTGTTACCAAGGGTCATCTTGTCTACCTGGAAGAATTATGCTTTTCTGATAAGAGAACAGGAGACTCAGTGGCACAGTTGTGACCCTATACTGTCTCCCAGAGCTGCCCTTCGGAAGTATATCTTTGGGAATGGTAATCAGGGTCTAATGGCTGAATTTAAGTCAGTGCTGTTTCTTTAGTCTTGGGAATAGAGTCTAATGGCTGCTCAGCCCTGCTAAACAAACATTTACACCCTAGCATCCTATAGTTCCCTTATTTCTAACAGGCCTAGTTGGCAAACTAATCTTCAGAGTATTTGGGGGGCAGTTTTCCCCTAGCTAAATTCTACCTGTATGACTTACTGTCTCCTAAGCACATCTATTAACATGTCATTTCTAGCATCAATTTTACTACTTTTCTTTCTTCCTCTTTGACTTTTTTCTCTTTCTTTCTTTTTTCTTTTTGTTTTGTTTTGTTTTGTTTTTCAAGACAGAGTTTCTCTGTATAGCCCTGGCTGGCTATCCTAGAAATTACTCTGTAGACCAGGCTGAACTTGAAGAACTCAGAACTCAGAGATCTGCCTGCCTCCGTCTCCTGAGTGCTGGAACTAAAGGTGTACACCATCACTAGGCAAGTTTCTTTTTCATCAAAAGTACAGAAACAAGATTTCTGTGACCTTCATTGTATAGACAAATACTGTTATTGGTTTCCAGCACAGGGAACATTGTCTAGAAAGCACTAGGAAGATATTTATGCTATTTAAAACAGGCTAATCGGCAAGGAGTGGTGAGCCCCTTAAATGTCTGGTCTCCTTCTAATCTTTGGACGGAAGTATTCATCCATTACAAGTGATCCTTGTACAAGGAGACAACATGGGACAGCGAACCTCTTCAGATAGAGAGAGAAAAAATGTACATGAGCCCCATCCTAATCCCTTGGCTCTTCCTACTTTCTGGTCTTCTGACTCTTTTAATGATTCAGAGACGAAAATCTGAATAGCTGTTCCTCTGCGTCCCTGTGCTCCTTCATCAACCCAAGGAATTGGCGAACTCAAAGGTAAGGGGTGTTTGGAGGCACACCTAACCTCCTCTCTTCTGGCCCTGGTGACTTCTAGTCCTTTTATACCGAGAGTTGATAATTTTCTTCAGGAGGAATACATGCAGAATAGGAGCCTAAACCCTATAAAATACTTAGGAATTCTAAACAAGCCACATCCTATTACAGACTTACATATTCAAGTATGATAGGATTGTTGAGAGGGATAGCTGAAACAGAGCAATGGATCTCCCATGACTGGGGCAAGCTGGCCAGGTATAGTAGTTTGAATGTAACTGGCACCCCAAATGTCATAGGGAGTGGCACTATTAGAAAGTGTGGCTTTGTTGGAGTGTGTATGTTTGTATGACCTTGTAGAAGGAAGTGTGTCACTGTGGGGACAGGCTTTGAGGTTTTCTATGCTCAGGACACCTCCTACTGTCTCAGTCCATTTCCTGTTGCCTTTGGATCAATATGCAGCCAGCACCACATCTGCCTGCAAGCGGCCATGCTCACTGCCATGATGATAATGGACTGAAACACAGAACTGTAAGCCACCCCCTCAATTAAAGTTTTAAATGTTTTCCTTTATAAGAGCTGCCATAATCATGGTGCTTCTTCAGAGCAATAGAACTAACTACAACAGCAGGACTTGTTTGAACGTGCTGAATCCCTTCATTTCAGGACTTGGCAGCATGAAGAGACTGTTTCTCAATCTGATCTTAGAAATATGTTATTAGAAATGCTGGCCTTTGACAATGCTAGCAGAGAATGTCAACAGACTCTACCCACAGTTCCAACAGCCAAAGGCAATTGAGAAAATTACATAGGAACCTGTGATGACATTTGGTCTTCAAGCCTGCTTCCACTAAGATCAGATATTTGTGTTCTTGGGACTTTTTGCACTATGCCTATGGTTTGCCTTTGTGCTGTGGGATATTTTTACTCTGTGTGAAGATGTGTTGTTGTGATTGGTTTAATAAAAAGCTGAACAGTCAATAGCTAGGCAGAGGGGTTAGAACCACATGGCAATCAGTAGATCAATAGAATCAGGTTAATTTAAGTTAGAAGAGCTAGTTCTGAGCAAGTCAAGGCTGAGGCCAAGCATTCATAACCAAGTCTAAGTCTCGGTATCATTATTTTGGAGAAGGTGGACCAAATAAAGGGTGATGAGAAAGTTAACCACACCTTAGTTTATGCCTTACCAAGTCTGGATACATCTGCTTCTGTTCCTTCTTTCATTCATAAAGACACCGGTGGTACTACTTCCTAAGTTCTTTAGGTGTCTGGTGTTACCAGCTCATTGAATAGCTGCATCTGAGACAGGATCTGGCCTGCACACTCAAGACCCAAGCATAATTATCTCAAAGTGGACTTCCTAGTCCCTGTCCTGGGTCAGGCTGACCCCCTGATTCTGTGACAGGGAGAAAAACAAACAAACAAACAAATACCTAAGGAAGATACTGTGTGCTTAAAAACAGCTAATGATATATGTTCATAGTCAAGGAAAAAAAAATCCTGCCTAAAATTCTCTCATTAATAACTTCAGCTGTAGCCTAGCAGTGGTGGTGCATTCCTTTATTCCCAGCTCTCAGAAGGCAGAATCAGGTGAATCTCTGTGAGTTCAAGGCCAGTTTGGTCTACAGAGCAAGTTCTAGGACAGTCAGGGCTACACAGAGGAAAGAAATGAAAACAAACAAAATCCAGCTATGCCTGCTTAAAATAGCCACAGTTGTGTACACAAAAAGTTAATAGTTGTGTTGGTTTGAATAAGAATGGCCCCAAAAGGCTCCTATGTTTGAATATGTGGTCTCTACTCAATTGAACTATTTGGGAAGGATTAAGAGGTGGGACCTTGTTGGAGAAGCTGTGTCACTGGGGATGGACTTTGAAGTTTCAAAAGCTCACATTATTCCCAGTTAGTGCTCTCTCTGTGCCTCTTACTTGCAGATAAGAATGTAAGCTCTCAGCTTCCGGCTTCAGCACCATGTCTGCCTGCTATCCAGAATAAAAGTGTCACACAATGTCAGTGAAGGCACTCCTGAGCAGTTCAGCTTTGAGCTCCCTGGTTCTGTTTCATCTTGAATTGCATGGGCACTGGTTGCTGGCAGGTCTCACCAGCAGAAACATGAATACTACAATAGATCTGACTACAATGTAAGTACCAAACAATGGGGCTTTAGATAGATACTGTACTTAAAAATAAATCACTAGCAATGGCGTGGGGGAGGCATCAAGACAGTGTTTTTCTGTGTAGCCCTGGTTGTCCTGAAACTCCCTTTGTAGACCAGGCTGGCCTTGAATTGAGAGATCACCTGCCTCTGTCTCCCAAGTGCTGGGACTAAAGGCAAACACAACCATCACTGGTTGACTGGGAAGGGGGGCAAGCTAAAATTGCCTAATGACATATTCTAAATTTGGTGCAATTTCTTGCATGATTGCTCTACAAATAATAGAATATCATGCATAAATATTCAACATAAACAAAAAATACACGTAGGAAACCTAAACTATTAAAAAATTTATGTAGTATATGTGTTTACCAATGTGTGTTAAATGCATGGATGCCCATGCTATGATGTACGTGTGAAGTAGTTTTCTCCTTACACATGGGTCCTGAGGGTTGAACTCAGGTGGTCGGTCAGCCTTAGTAGCAAATGCCTTAACCCCGTTGGTCATCACTGGTATGGAAATTTTAATATAAAAGAGACAAGCAACACAATCTTGGTAAGTAAACTTTAACTGAATAGATGTCCAGAAAAATAAACACTATCACTTCAAATGCATTTTCTTTATGTTTTTCTTCATTTTGATTTATGTAGTATATGCACAGGTATGTGAGCGTGCATGTACTACAGTATGCATGTAGAGGCTAAAAGGCAGCTTACATGTGCTGCTTATCTTCTGACACAGAGGCCCAGGAGATTAATTTATGTTGTCAATCTTGACAGCTATACTGATATTTTGTTTGGGATAACAGATAAAGCTTGCCTGAATATCAGAATGTGGAGCTAAGCCACTCACTAGTCATAGATGCCAGGCAATGGTGTCACATACTTTTAATCCCAGCACTTGGGAGACAGAGGCAGACAGATCTCTGTGAGTTCAAGGCCACCTTGTGCTACGTGAGATTGAGTCTGTCTAAAAGAGAAACAGAGCTTATAATGGTATGTTATCTGTAGTTTCATAAACAAATCTTGCCTGAAGATCAGAGGCAAAGGTAAAGCCACCTAGGTAAGGTAATGGTGACACACCTTTAATCCCAGGATTTGGGAGAGGCAGAGAGATGTCTGTGAGTTCAAGGCTACCCTGGGCTACACAAGATCAATGCAGAAACAAACCCAGGTGGTGGTGATCTACACCTTTAATCCTAGTACTAGGGAGTCATGCCTTTAATCCCAGCACTAGAAGGAATATAAAATGGGAGGAGAGAAGGGCATAGCTGGTTAGTTTGCACCCAGTCTTGGTAGAAGTAAGACTTCTCCAGTGGGTTGGCTGCCTTGCTTTTCTGGTTTTCAGGCTGAGGCCTAATTTCTGTCTCTGGGTTTTTATTATTTGTGCCACATTTGGCACCCAACATTTGGGGTATGAATTTATGAAAAAGCCATTTGCCTGAGGCTTTTTAGCCACCACCAACAGACTGGGGCTGCACGTGGGGTTCCAGCACCACCTCTCCACTGTGGGTTGCAGGCTCTCCCGGAACTCCCTTTTTGGACTGCTGACAAACTAGACAGCTGCCTTGAAATCCAGTCAGGCTTCTACGGTTCTATGCAGCAATAATCAGCCTCACAACTTCATCAACATTGTCGGTAAATTGGGAATTCTTAAAGGGAGGAATTAGTTAAAACAGAGAGTTTTTCCCCCCACATTAAAAAGTGAGAAAAACTATTAAAGGAATTTGGGGCTCTGTATGATAATATGTTACACAGTTTAAAAATGGATCAGTTAAATGAGAGGATATCTAATTTGGATGGGATTTATGTAACATCAATTGTAAATATTGTCAGCATTACAGTTTTTTTTGTCTTATCAGTAAAAAGTTGATTAATCTGAGTGCTAAGATGCAGGACTTGGAAAAATCTAATAAAACAGATCCCAGAGAGATTCAAACCCAGACCAAAGAAGTTAATGGAGAGCCATTTTCAGCATTGCGTTATAGTAGAGAGGAACGGTATAGGATTTTCAGACAACCAACCTTGATATATTCAGTAACCTTACAGAAATTGCCAATTGGCAGAGGCTCTGAAATAGCTTAACTGGACTCCTGTGCCACTGTTAGATTTAAAGAGATTGAAGGAAATAAACAGTCTCATATGACATGCATCCACCTTTTGTAAAGCACATGTGAAATTCATGGTCAGTTTGTAATGACTGGAAAGATTTGGTTAATGGAGTCTTAGAGACTGGAACACAATAACAATAGAGTACCTGGTTCAGAAAAGAGGCTAAGATTATTGAACAACGGACTAAAGCTAGAGAAAGGTAAATCTCCCAAGATAAAATTCTTGGAGGAGGAGATTATGCTACTATAGAAAAGCAGGCTGTATATGATGACTACACCCTGGATTTATGCCATGCAACAAATTTGAATGCTTGAGACAGAATTGAGAAATATCAAAGAAAATTGAGTCATTTACTAAAGTTTTGCAGGGCACAAAGGAAGCCTGTACAGATTTCTTACAAAGACTGACTACAGCAGCAAGTAGATGTTACCAGATTCAGAGCTAGACAAATAATAATTGAATCTCTGGCTTTTGAGAATGCCAGTTCTCCATGCAAAAGGATAATTAAACAATTAAAAGCAAGGCCAAGACCTTTGGAGGAATGGATCTGAGATATAATTAATATAGAATCTCATAAACATGATGATGCATGGATAGGAGAAGTGATTTCCAGAAGTTTGATGAAAAATCAAAATGTCAGTTGTTATAATTGTGACAAACAAGGTCACATTAAAAGGGATTTTAGACAGGGTGTTCCTAGAAACAATTTTTTTCTTAGAATAATTCAATTAGAATGCTCCTCCCTTCTGGGAGACATGATTTGTTTGAGCGATCGAATACTCAGATTAACATTCCTCCAATCATAGAAACAAACCATAAATTAATGTATATTTCAGGGAAAAATATTAGAAGATTTTATAAAGAACAGTCACCAAACATTCAGGTTGTACAAGAACAGCGTACAACAGCTATTGATATTTCAAAGACACCAACCGCCCTACCTTTAAAATGTTTGACAGACAAACCTGTGTGGGTTAAGCAATGGCTTTAACAATAGATAAATGCAGGCTTTAGAACAGCTCATACAGGAGCAACTAGATGCTCAGCATATTGAAGAATCAATCGGCCTTGGAATTCTCCTGTATTTGTTGTTAAAAAGAAGCCTAAAAAATGGAGAATGGTAACAGATTTAAAAGCTATTAATAGGTGATTCAGGCAATGGGCTCTTGACAGTCTGGCATTCCTTAGCCTTCTCTATTGCCTAAAGGATGGCCACTTTATAGTTATTGATTTAAAAGACTGTTTCTTCACTACATTTTTACAAGAAAAAGACAGAGAAAAATTTGTTTTCACAGTGTCTATATATAATTCTCAGCCTGCTTAAAGATATCAATGAATGATTCTCCAACAGGGAATGTTAAATAGCCTCACCCTGTGTCAATATTTTATCAATCTGCCACTGGAAATGATATGTAATCAATTTCATGAATCTATAGTTTACCATTACATGGATGATATTTTGATATATGATTCAAATATAGATACTTTAGAAAGAATGTTTGAAGAAGTAAAGAAGACTTTGTCTTGTTGTATTACAAATTGCTCCTGAAAAAATACAAAGAGGAAATTCTATTAATTATTTAGGCTATAAAATTGGGTTACAGAAAATTAGACCCAAAAGGTACAAATTAGGAGACTGGCTGCAGACTCTTGATGACTTCCAAAGATTGCTAGAAGACATTTCCCAGCTACGGCTCACTATTGGGGTAAAACCTGATGAACTAATTTATTTAAACAAAACCTTAGATGGTGACAAGGACCTAAAAGTCCCAGGGAATTATCAGCTGAGGCTGAAAGGAAACCGACTTTGATTGAAGAGAAATTACAGAAGACACATGTGGATTGTGTGGATCCAAATCTTAACTGCATTCTGGTCATATTACACCCCAAATATTCCCCTACAGGAATTTTTTGTTTTGTTTTATTTTTTTGAGATAGGATCTGTAATGATTTAAGCCACATAAGGCTGATAATTTCAGGTTCTAGGGTCCATACATGTGCAGACAAGCCGTCAGGCAGAAGTGCCTAATGGACTCCAGGGATGTTAGAGGGCCCCGCATGACTGATGTGCTGCATGGATTACATCATTCATGTATGACTCAGCTAAGCCCTTGCATGCATGCATGAGCCATCATCTGCATATGACATAGCCACATATGCATGTGCTGGGAAGCTTTTAAAAGCTGAACGCATCATCTTCTTCTCTCTCTCTGGACACTGACTTCCCCAGGCCTATATACACCCCCTCTAATAAACTCCTAAGAGGGTTTGTTGTGTATTCCATGTTTCCTTCTCAGTCACACCAGGTAATTTCAGGATCTCTCTGCGTAAAAGCTCTGGTTGCCCTGGAACTCACTTCATAGGACAGGCTGGGCTCGAACTCACAGAGATCCACCTGCCTCTGCCTTCCAAGGATTAAAGGCATGTGCCACCACCACCTGGCCCCTAGAGGAATTTTAATGGAGAGAGAAGATATTATCTTAGAATGTATCTTTTTACCACAAACTGAGAAAAAAAATTTAAAAATTATGTGGAAAAAGTCTCTGAGTTAATTCGAAAAGAAAAATTGAGACTTCATTAATTAGCAGGAATAGACCCAGCAGAAATTAGAGTACCATTTAATAATGATGAAATTAACTAATTATGGGAAGAAAGTGAACCCTGGCAAAGAGCTTGTAGCAAGCCTTCTTTTGGGGGTAGAGATTAACAAAAACTATTCCAAAAACAAGAGAATTTGATTTATAAAGAAAATGAATTGGATCCTTCCTCACATTGTACAGGACACATCAATAACTGGAGCCCCTATATTCTATACTAATGCAAGGAAATCAGGAAAGGCAGATTAAAAATCAGTAAATTTAAGTAAAGTGGAACTTTACTTAATGATTCTGTCCAAGTCAGAATTATACGCTATTCTCATGGTACTAAGGGATTTTCAAGAACCTCTCAACATAGTTACTGATTTGCAATATGCAGAAAGAATTGTTTTGCATACTGAAACTGCCAAATTTATACCAGAATATACAGACTTGACTTCATTATTTATTCAGATACAAGATATAATCAGGACTAGGCATCATCCCATTACATAACACACATCTGATCCCATGCAGGTCTGTTGGTCCTCTAGCACAATATAATGCAGAAATCGATTAATTATTGATTGGAAATGTGCTGAAGGCCTCAGAATTTCATAAAAAAATCATGCCAATATCAAAGGTTTAAAAAAGGACTTTTCTATTACATGGAAACAAGCCAAGGAGACTGTAAGAAAATGTCCTACTTGTTCTTTATACAACTAAACACCACTACCTGTAGGAGGTAACCGAAAGGGTACTCAAAGGAATGAAATCTGGCAGATGGATGTTTTCGGTTTTGTAGAATTTGGAAAACTAAAATATGTACATCACACCACTGATACGTATTCAGGTTTTCAATGAGCAACTGCTTTGATTTCGGAAAAGGCTGATTTGGTAATCACACATTCACTAGAAGTTATTGCCATCACGGTCATACCTACACAAATAAAGACAGACAGTGCTTCAGCATATGACTTTAAGAAAATGAAACAATATTTTACTTATTAAAATATAAAGCATATTACAGGTATACCACACAATTATATAGGCCAAGCAATTATAGAAAGATCAAATCATACTCTAAAGGATATGTTAAATAAACAGAAGGGTATGATACAGACCACCAGAAATAGATTGCATCATTCTTTAATGATGTGGGAGTCCCCTCTGTGTGCTGTGATTACCATTAATGAATAAAGAAACTGCCATGGCCTGTTGATAGGGCATAACTGAGGTAGGTGGGGAAAACTGGACTGAATATTGGGAGGAAGACAGCTGAGTTTCTTGCCCAAATGGCTAACCAACTCCATAAGGAGCCTCTTCAGTGCCCATCATCCTTTTGAAGTAGCTTGGTGCTGCCAGGAGCAGATGTGTCTCATTGTCATGAGAAGTCTTAAGTTCTTAAACATTTTAAATGCCATATTCTGAAGGTTTCTGAAAGATTTGAAGAATACCTATCTAACTGAAATAT